TGCAGCAACCAGGGTTTAGGGTTTGCACTTCTGAATGTTTCCACTCTTTCTCAAGCGAATGTGCACTCTCTGCCTCGCTCCCAAACCCTAAACCCTAAACCCTAGACAGTGGCTCTCAGCTTCTATCTTGCGTCTTCCGCTTTAGCTACAAGTAATAAATAAGTGAATAAATAAATAAATAAATAAATAAATAAATAACAGATAATAAATAATAAAAAGATAACTGAATAAAATAAACAAATAAATATATCGAAAGGTATTAGTAGAACAGCAAATGCTTTCTTTAGTAGTTCTGAGGTCCCACAGAACCCCTAAACCCTAAACCCTAAACCCTAAGTGGCAGTTCTCAGGGAATGGGGGGCGTGCTTGCCCACGGCGCAGCGCGCGCCGCTTCTGGGCAGAAAGTGTTTAAGACCTCCCTGGGGGTTTAGGGTTTAGGGTTTAGGGTTTAGGGTTTGCGTCGGCTTTTGAGTCTGCGGATTTGGTCTTCAATTGAAAAGTGTTTTTGTTCGAATTTCCCCGGCCCATTGAAAATGAATTGCAAAGAAATAAAAGACAAATCCACTGTGGGAATTAAATGCGGCGTCAGCAGCAAATACTGCACCCCCTCCTGCTGCTGCTCCTGCTCCTGCTGCTGCTGCTGCTGCTGCTGCGGCTGCTGCTGCTGGGGGTCGGGCGCTTCTGCGGGGCCCTGCGGGCGGCGCTTTGAGGGGCCTTGCGTGAGACTCAGCCGCCTCTTCTTGCCGCTGCTGCTGCCGCTGCTGCTGCTGCTGCTGCTTTCCGCTTCGCCCGCCTGCTGCTGCTGCTGCGCATGCATGCCGTGGGCTGCTTCGGACAGCAGGCGAAACAAAAGGGCCTCGCGCTCGGAGTCGAGGCCCTGATTAATTTCATCCAAAACCCTAAAAGACCCTTGGGCAAAAGCCTGAGGCCAAGCAGCAGCAGAAGTTTGCTGCCAATCTTTTAATCCAATTTAACAAATAAGAAAGAATAAGGCAGTGCCAGATGCCCTCTGCATGCAGAGCAGCAGCAGCAGCAACAGCTGCAGCAGCAGGAAAGGAACAGCAGTAGCAGCAGCGAAACTGCAAACGCGAAACAGCAGCAGCAGCAGCAGCAGAGCGCTAAGAAACGAGGATTAGGTGGAAATGAGTGGCAAATGGAGTAGAAGAAGCAAGGAAAGAAAGAAATGAAAAAGAATTAAAATAAAATGAAATAAAGGAATAGTAAAAGACCTGCACAGAAAGCAAATAAAGCACTGCAGCAAGACTTCTTTCTCCCCCCGAGTTTGTGTTGCTGAGCCGCCGCAGCGGTGCTGCTGCTCGGAAGCTGATCTGCAGCAGCAGCTGCAGATTGTTGAAGTCCGGAAGTGCAGACAATTCCCCCGGAAAGCAAGCCCTTTCTGCTGCTGCAGCTGCGGGTGCTGCTGCTGCTGCTGCTGCTGCTGCGGGCGCTCCCGCTGCTGCAGAAGACGCGGCGCCCAGCGGCGCCGCGGGGCTCGCTGGAGCCGCAGCAGCAGCAGCAGCAGCAGCAGGGAACAAGGGTTTAGGGTTTGTGCCCAGGAGACAAATGCGGCCATCTGCTTCGGGGCTGACAGTTTTCATGAGGGTTTTAAACCTCTCACACAAAACCCTCACGACGCCCTCCACGTGCGGCAGCCACCTGACTCACAAACCCTAAACCCTAAACCCTGAAACCCTAAACCCCAAACCCCAAGCCCTGAAACCCTAAACCCTAAATTCGGAACCTTAAACCCTTAACCGGAGGCTCTAAACCCTACACCCTAAATTCCAATTTACACACCCTAAACCCTAGACTCTAGACCCCAACACTAAACCCTAAACCCTAAACCCTAAACCCTTAAAATTGTTCGTCAATGCGTAGCTGCGGGGATGCGAAGCTGCAGATTAGGGTTTAGGGCAAAGGGTTTAGGGTTTAGGGTTTACGTGTTGGCTTGCTGCTGCATTTGGGAGTGCGTGTCCTTGATTAGGGTTTGCAGCTGCGCGGCTTTCTCCTCTGCTTCTGCTGCAGCACGAACATTTGCTGCCAGCTCAGCAGCAGCAGCAGAAGACCCCACAGAGCCCGCGCGAGACAAACAAATTTTAATTCTTTCTTTTTCTGTCTCCAACGCCACGAGGCCTTTGGGAAAAGGAGACAGTTCAGGCAGCAGCCATTCCCTCCCGCTGCTGCTGCTGCTGCTGCTGCTGCTGCTGCTGAGGAAGGCCATGTCTGCTGCCAGCTGAGACTCGGCTGCTGCTTCGTTTGCTGCTGCAGCCGCAGCGCAGCGCTGCGTCAGCGGCTCCTCGTCCCCAGCAGCAGCAGCAGCAGCAGCAGCAGCAGCACCTGCTGGCAGCACCTGCAGCAGCTCCCTGTACACCCCAACTGCCTCTCTTTTCCAGTTGTCTGCTTCCCCCTTGCGCTGTAGATACACCTCGCGCTGCTGCTGCACTTTCTCCCGCAGCTCCTTCACTGTTTTCTCTTCAGCCTCCAGCTGCAGCGCCACAAACCCTAAACCCTAAACCCTAAACCCTAAACCCTGGGCCTTGAGCTTCAAGCCGCAAACCCTAAGGACTGGCACTTGGCAGAAAGGCCTTCGCATTAGCAGCAAACTCGAAACCCCTGCCAGAAACCCTCGTTTGCCTCTGCAGCTGCTAAACCCTAGCCCGAAACCCTAAACCCTAAACCCTAAACCCTAAACCCTAAACCCTCCTTGTCCGTCGGGGCCCACAACGCTTAGGACTAGGGTTTCGGGTTTGCGTTACGAGGGCCTAGCGTCTGCGAAGGCTAGGGTTTAGGGTTTAGGTTTTGCGTACGCCGAGTTCATGGCCTAGCGCTTGCATACGCTAGGGTTTACGGCGTGGGGTTGAGGGTTTAGGGTTTGCGTGGACTAGGGCTAAGGGTTTAGGGTTTAGGGCTTAGGATTTGCATTACTCTTGCTTGTTGCTCTAGGAGTTTTTGCTCGTCCTTCTGAATGTTTTTTTTGGCTTTTTTGATATCTGCTGCTGCTGCCTTTAGGGGCTGCAGCAGCAGCTGGCTGCTGCTTATCTGCTGCGCTGCTGTTATTAGCAGCAGCAGCTGCTGCTGCATGGCCTCGAGCTGCTTCTGTTTGCTGCTGCAGAGTGTCTTCCTTATGGAGGGCGCTGCAGCAAGTTCTGCTGCCAAGGCAGAGCAGCGCTGCTCCTCTGCTGCTGCTGCTGCTGCTGCCGCTGCAATGCGTTCGCGCAGCCGCAGCTCCTCTTCCCGCTGCTGCTGCTGCTCGTGCTGCTGCTGCCGCAACAGATCCCTCTTGTCTCTTTCTCCTGCTTCTTGTTCCTCAAGGGCCCTTTGCTGCGCCTCGAGCTGCTGCTCGGAGTCCCTGAGTTTCTTGATTTTCTGCTCCTGCTGCAGCACCTGCTGCTGCGGCTGCTGCTGCTGCTGCTGCTGCAGGAGCAGCAGCACCGGCGGCCACCGGGGCACCGCCACCACAGAGTGCACAAAACCTGCAGCAGCATAGCTGCTTCTTTTGAGGCGGTGTGCATGCAGCCCCAAATAGTAGACAATTTCCTGTGCGCTGAAGCGCTGCTGCTGCAGCTCTGCTGCTGCAGTTTGCTGCATTTGCTGCTCCTGCTGCTCCGTCAGGCTGCTGCTGCACACCAGACACAAGTGGGCCCTCGTGTACTCATTAAAAGTACTTTCAAAACCCTCAGGGACTTCGAGGTAATCCGCCAAAAATCCCAAAACCCCCGCTGCATGCAGGGCCTGCGTCATGTGGGGTTTGCGCGCTGCTGCTGCTGCTGCTGCTGCTGCATCTGGAGCAGCAGCAGCAGCAGCAGGGTCGAGGCAAAAGCACCTCACGTTTGCTCGAGAAAGAACTCGGAAGTCCTCCGAAGCATCAAGACACAAAAAGCTGAGAAGTTTGCTGCGCAAGAAGTGAGCAGCAACAGCTTGCATGCTGCTGTCTCGAACCTGCATGCAAAATAAATAAATAAATAAATAAATAAATAAATAAATAAATGAATAAATCTTTCTTTGTCTGTCTCCTTTTGCTGCCAACTGCTGCGCTGCTGTCGCCCTTTTGCTGCAGCCGCTGCAGCTGCAACAGCTGTTGTAGCTGCTGCAGCTGCTGTTTCCCGTTTGCTGCAGCTGCTGCAGCAGCAGCAAAACTGTGCGTTTGTGCGGTGTACATACACCCCACGGCCCTGTGTACTTCCATCCCACTTATATAATTAGCCATTTATTTATTTTTATTTATTTATTGTCATTTATTTGTTTTCATATTTATTTATTATGACATTTATTTATTTTTATTTATTTATAATGTTATGAGTCTAACATGCATGCAAATAAATTCGACTTGAGTTTATTTCATTATTTGAAATCAAATGATGTAGAAGTGCATGCACCAATGCATGCAAATCTAAATAAATAAAATAAATACAAATGCATGTGTAGAAACAAATGCTTATAAATGCATTTGTAAGTATAAAAATTAAAGTGTTTGTATAAATATAAATCTACAAATATGTATATATATATATATATTTTAGATGTACATACTTTATAAACAACCATTTCTTCATTTATGTTTTTATATTTATTTATGTATAAGTAGTTTATTTAAATACCTATCCCCTTAAAATCTGTTAATTTACAAAATGAGTATTATGAAGAGGTATATATATTAATGCAAATGTGTATGTTTGCTGCTGCTGCAGCAGCACGACTAGCAGCAGCAACAGCAGCAGCGGAGCCAGAAGCTGCAGCACCATTACGAGCCGAAACAGCAGCAGCGCAGCAGCAACAGCAGCAACTGCAGCAGCAGCAACAACAGCTCCGCCGCAGCAGTAGCAGTAGCGACTGCAACAGTAGCAGCAACTGCAGCAGCAGCAGCAGCAGCAGCAGCAGCAGCACCTTGACAATAGCGCCTAGAGGTCCCTTGACTTGGCTTTTGAATTTGTGGGTCTTCAGCAGCTGCAGGCCTCTGGAGACAGTCCCCACATCGTAGCCCAGCTCAAGGCGAGTGAGGTCCTGCAGCAGCTGCTGCTGCTGCTGCTGCTCGTGCTGCTGCTGCTGCTGCTGCTCCTGCCGCTGCAGCCGCTGCAGCAGCAGCAAACGGTCCCCTGCTTCCTGCAGCGCCCCGCGGGTGCTGCGCAGCTGCCGCGAAGTGCTGCTTAGCTGCTGCCGCAGTTCTGCCAGCTTCCGGTTTTGCTGCTGCAGCTGCTGCTCCGTATCCTCAGGCCCTACGGGACGCGGCAACGCCTGCAGCAGCAGCAGTAGCAGCAGCAGCAGCAGCAGCAGCAAGAGACGGCATGCGCAGCAGCGGCCAACGTACTCTCCAGCTCTTGAAAGATCTGCGGGTAATCAGCTACAGCTAGTTGCGGTTCTCTGCAGCTAGCTGCGGCTAGTTGCAGCTAGCTGTAGAGTAGCAGCAGCTAGCTGCAGCTAGCCCCTAGAGCAGCAGCAGCTAGCTCTAGATGTGGCTAGCTGCAGCTAGCTGCAGCTAGCTGCTGCATCGCTCTTGCGTTTCTACTGCTGCTATTATTTAAGGTCTCGGATGAGGGCTCTTACCGAAGCCGAAGGTTCTCCTTTCTGCTGCTGCTGCTGCTGCTGCTGCTGCTGCCTATTGTTGAGCAGCTGCTGCAGTGTCTCCTCGAGCATTAGCTGCTGCGCCTTGGGGTCCAGGGCCTTCTCCCTTTGCAGCAGCAGCCGCCGCCTCAGCGCATGCAGCTGCTGCGGGTAAGCATCAAGCTCTGCTGCGGCTTCGTCTAGCCCTTGCTGCTGCTGAACAGCAGCAGCAGCAGCACCCGTAGCTTTAGCAGTAGGCGTTTAGCAGCAGAAGCAGCATCGTCAGACGCAACAGCAGCAGAGCTAAAAGCAGCAGCAGCGTTGGCGCTGCCAGTAGGAGAAGCAGCAGCAGCAGCAGCAGCAGGAACAGCAGCAGCAGTTTGTCTTACAGAGTGAAACTTCTCGATCAGCTGCTGCACTTCCTGCTTCTGTTTAGCTGCGTCTTGCAGCTGTTGCTTAAGTGCTTCCTCTCTTTGCTGCAGGTCCTGTCTCTTTCTTTCAAGTTTCTCTCTTGCTGCTTGCTGCTGCTGCTGCAGCGGCTCTACTGCAGCACGAGCAGCATTTAGCTCGCCCTTGGCTGTCTTGTAGCGCCCGTAGGCTTCCTCAGCCAGCAACTGCAGCAGCAGCAACAACAGCAGCAGCGGCAGGAAGCAGCAGTCGCTGCAGAATGCAGCAACAGTAGCAACAGGCTGCAGCTGCCAGAGAATGCAGCAGCAGCAGCAGCAACAGCGGCAACAGCTGCGGGCTGACGAGAACAAACAGCAAAAACGATCCCTTCTCGCCCAGCAGCATATTGAGCCGGCTTCTAGCAGCAGCAGCAGCAGCAGCAGCAGCAGCAGGGCCGTACGCGCAGAATGCGTCCCTCGCAGAGTGTGAGGCGTCGCTTGAGGTTGTAGTAATCAGTAACTTGCTGCTGCTGCTGCAGCAGCTGCCGTTGCTGCTGCTGCAGCACTGACCACTGGTCTCGAACGGTCTCCAGCGAGGACAGCAGCTGCTGCAGCTGCTCCTGCTGCTGCTGCAGACTCGCCAGACACTGCGCATCTTTCTCGTTTATTGCCTAACACAAGCAGCAGAAGCAGCAGCAGCAGCAAGAGCAGCAGCAGCTGAAGGAAATCCCCACTCCCTTTGCAGCGCCGAAAGCGACACCAGCAGAAACCCAGAAGCAGCAGCAGCAGCAGCAGCAGCAGCAGCAGCAGGAGCAGCAGCAGGAGCAGGAGCAGGAGCAGCAGGAGCAGCAGCAGGAGCAGCAGCAGCAGCAGCAGCAGGAGCAGCAGCAGGAGCAGGAGCAGCAGCAGCAGCAGCAGGAGCAGCAGGAGCAGCAGGAGCAGCAGCAGCAGGAGGAGCAGGAGAAGCAGGAGGAGCAGGAGGAGCAGGAGGAGCAGCAGGAGCAGTAGGAGCAGCAGCAGCTCCACACCCAGCGCTTCCCCCGCAGCGCCACCGCGAGCGCCGCCGCCGCCGCAGCAGCAGCAACAGCAGCAGCAGCAGCAGCAGCTCCAGCCCCAGCACTTCGCCGCGCAGCAGCAGCAGCCGCAGCTGCAGCAGCAGCAGCAGCAGCAGCAGCAGACCTGGAGAGTGTTTGCGAGCAGCTCCCTGGGAGTCAAAGAAGCAAACAAAGAAACTGTTTGCTGCTGCATAAAACAAAGATAATTATTTGCGCGCAGCAGCAGCAGCTTCTGGTGTCTCTCCACCTCGCCCCACTTCGCCTCTTCGCCGTTCAACAAGTAGCGGCTCCTCAAACCCTTCGGGCCCTGCAAACCCTAAACCCTAAACCCTAAACCCTAAACCCTAAACCCTAAACCCTAAACTCTAAACCCTGAACCCTAAACCCTGAAGCCTAAGCCCTGAACCCTAAACCCTAAACACTGAACCCTAAACTCTGAACCCTAAACCCTGAACCCTAAACCCGAAACCCTGAACCCTAAAGACTGAACCCTAAACCATAAACCCTAAACCCTAAACCCTAAACCCTCGCGGGGCCGTGGGTGCAGCTATTTTAGGTGAAAAACTCTTGCAAACAAACAAATTAATTAAATTCATTTCATACAAATAGTTCATTATTATTTATTTATTTATTTATTTATTTATTTATTATTTAGTTTTTATTTATTTATTATTTATATATTCGTTTATTTACTATTAATTACTTATTTATTTATTTACTTATTTATTCACTCTTTATTTATTTATTTCTTATTGATTAATTAGTTAAGCTATTTATTCATTTATTTGTTCGTTTATTTATTATTTATTTATTTATTTATTTATTTATCTATCAGTTATTAACTGATTTACTAAATAATTAAATAATTATTTAATTATTTATTAGTTATTAACTGATTTACTAATTAATTAATTAATTTATTTATTAGTTATTAATTGATTAATTAATTAGTTAATTAATCAATTAATTAATTTATTATTTTTTGAATATTTTTACTTTCTCCAAATCTCTTTGAATTGAAACAATTTCATTTTTGCCTTTTCCCTTCAGCCAAAGGCAAACGAAGGCCCGCTGGCCCCCATAAGTTAAGAAGCGCAGCAGCTGCTGCTGCTGCTGCTGCTGCTGCTGCTGCTGTGGCTGGCTCGCCGCCCTCGCCGTTGCTGCTGCCGCGCTGCTGCTGCTGCTGCTGCTGCGGGTGCTGCGGATGCCCAGCGCAAAGTGCATGGCCGATACAATGGTGCTTTTCCCGACGCCGTTACATGACGCAATCTGCACAAACCCTAAACCCTAAACCCTAAACCCTAAACCCTAGTGCTACACCCAAAACCCTAAACCCTAGGGCTCCTCTACAGCAAAGGGAGAAGGACGTGTAGCAGTGGCTGACAGCAGTGCAGGCTCAAAGCCGTCATCACTCCAAACCCTAAACCCTAAACCCTAAACCCTAAACCCTTGGCGCACGAGGTTGGTGTACGGGGAGAAGAAGATCTGCACAGGCGACTTAAAAGCCATAAACCCTTTCAGCTGCATGCTAATTATTTGGCCCACTCCAAACTCGCTAATGGGTACAGGGCTCTTTAGGGGCCCCCCGGGGCCCTCAAGGGGGGCCCCCCGGAGGCCCCTAAGGGCCTTGGGGGGCCCTAAAGGGCACCCTTGGGGGTCCCCCATGGGGGCCTCCACAGCCCCTCCGCCTCCAGCCATAGAATGCAGGAATAAGCATGGGGGCCCCCTTTAAGAAAGCTCTGGGGGCCTCCGGGGGCCCCTGGGGGCCCCCAGGGGCCCCTGGTGCGTTGGGTGGCTGTGTCAAGCTGTGGTGTATGTACACCCCAGCACCTCCGCTAACCCGCAGGCCGCCTCGCAGGTAATTTCGTTCACAAATTGGTTTTAAATAAAACAAAATGATAAATGAAGAAGAATAATAAAACCCAAGATCACCAGGAGGCCAGGGGGGCCCCCTAGGGGCCCCCTACACCCCCTGGGGCCCCCCGGTGGGGCCCCCCCAAGGGGCCTCGCAAACCACTGCTGCATTTTCCATTGCTTGTTTTTGTTTAATTATTCACTTAAATTCAATTTTTTGAATTTTAAATGATCAAAAAGACGAAATAATGAAGTTTGCAGCAGCAGAAACCACTGCAGCAAACACCAGAGCTACACTGGTCCGGCGGGGTTGTTGTGTTTATTCCTGTGTAGAGTCTATCCTCCTTTTTGCAGCTCTCCTCTTTAGGATGAGCCTCCTAATTTCCATTACTTAAACCATAAACCCTAAAACCTAAACCCTAAACCCTAAACTCTTTAACTCTCTGCAGGCTTGGGCTCGTTTCTATCATCCTGTGCGCCGGAACTTCAGTGCTTCTTCCAAACCCTAAACCCTAAACCCTAAACCCTAAACCCTTTTCACGCTGCTTGTGTCTAGAATAACCCCTTCTCCAGGTTCGTTTGGACAGGCCCAACAACAAAATACAACAAAGGACATTCTCCGTAGAGTTCAGGGTTTAGGGTTAGGCTAGGGTTTAGGCTAGGGTTTAGGGTTTAGGGTTTAGGGGACGAATTTTAGCGACCTCAAAAGGGTTTCCGTGGACTGCTGAAAAGCATCTCTTCTCCCCTTCGCCTCCGCCAGCAAACAGCCCCAAGATGGCTGAGGCATTAATCGCAGTTTCCTTTCCTTGGGGGGCCCCCCAGGCAGCTCCGCCTCTCGGGGGCTTTCGGGGGGCCCCCCGGGGCCCCCGGGGCCCCCCGGGCTCCCAGGGCCCCCGGGGCCCCCAGGGCCCCCAGAGCCCTCGGGGCCCCCGGGGCCCCCAGAGCCCTCGGGGCCTCTTGGACTCTCGGGGCCCCCCGGACCCTCGGGGCCCCCTGGGCCTGCATGCGCATGCATGCGCATGCACAGGCGCGTCCCAGGGTTTGGGGCTGGAGGGTTTGGGGGGATTTCTGGGTGTGGGGTATCCCAAATAACTTATTAGGCCTAAACCCTAGACCCTAAACCCTAAACCCTGGGGCCTCGACGTCGCAGGGCAACGTCTGCAGCTAGCTTTGGCACAAAAGCCCTTGACCCTACGCAGTACCTGAGTGGCCCCCTAAACCCTAAAC